AAGTTGTAGAGAAAAATAAAAGGCCCAAGCCCCTCAGTTTTGCAAATGTAGTAAAAAGTGTTTGAATACACACTTTAATATATTTTCTGTGGCATTTTTGTAAAATACAGATATATAATTATAGATATACTGCATATATAGCATTTACTATACTGATAAAAAGCTAGTCTTTTCACAATGACACACCAGTATTTACAATATGATTCAAATTTTAAGGAACAAATGTTTCAAACAATATTGTGTGGTTATATGATAAGAATAATTTGAGGAAAAATAAGAGACCAGTTCTAAAAAATTCCCAGACGATAAAGTACATACTCTTGCCAGAAGCACCTCCAAGAACATCCACACACAACCTTTTTTTTCCCCCCGTAGGAACATGCATGATTTAGCTCTTCCACATTCCTACCTAGTCACAGCCCTTTAGATGACATGGATAATTACCTTTAACCTTTTTCAAGTACAGATTGATTGTATCATTCTTCCCATTTAAGGATTTGTCCAACTGCAACATTTCAATGTTTTGGCTAGAGCGGGAATTAGTATACACAAGTTTCTTGTTAATTTAAACCAATAGAGCTATGACACTTTACATAACTGAAAATTTGCCCATCTTCTACACATCTCAGAACCATTTCACAAATTCTTCACGTGAGGTTTTGGAACAGTATTTTTAGCATTACAGGTCTTTGCTAGGAGGTCTGCCCCAAAGGACACTGCAGTGCCAAAACTAGTGACACACCTGAAGTACACGAATATTTTTTGTTAGCCTCATACATGAGCTCTACCTAACTGTTCATCTGTAGTGTATTCTCCACAGTACAGTAGACATAAAGATGATGATCTTCATCTTTAATGGACTGTCACCTTTTACTGTGAGGCAGAGAAGTGCTATTATCACATTTTACAGAAGAAAAAAAATGAGATATTGAAAGGTGGAGTGAATTGCCTGAGGTCAACTGGGACGTTTCTGACAGCAAAGAAGCAAAGCCACATCTCCTCAACTGCAGGCTCATGCTCTTGTCTTTCCAGCTTTGACTGAGAACTTTCTATGTGTGTTCTTTAACATAAACAAATACGTAACTAATAGAAATAAAGCCTTCTCCAGGCATAGGCTTAAAGCCTGCTGTGATTTCTCTCCTATTCTCAAATAAGAAGAGATTGTTGAGAGGGCTGTTTCTGCATGCATTATCCCCAGCCCACTGAAGAAATACTAGCTGCAATGAGTCTTTCTTGAAGTGGAAGCAGTTAAGCCCACTGTTTGCCAGAAAAGATATAGGAACGCTTTGTCAAACGCAAAAATCCACCTTCATTGGAAAATCTAACAGAGAAAAACCAAAAACCTGAAAGGCCTTATTCTCCTTCAATGCCGACGGCGGAAGCATTTTCAGCTACATTTGTACCCACTTTATAATGCCTTTGCATCACCTGCACAATATAAAGGAGGCTTAGCGCGCTGTTGAAGACGACCCGTTCTCTCAAGCATGAAAGTCGGTTCTACAGCCGTGGTTCAGCTCTGATAGGCGGGCAGCTGAGGGGCAGCTTTTGCAGCTGGATTGATGCGCACCAGGGTTGTGCAGGTGCAAAGGAGAGCAGAAATTTCACCACGACAAGCACCTCCCCCTGTCCTCGTCACTCTGGAGAAGCCTGGTCAGGAGTGGGTTGTGATCCACGTTCTTACATGCACCAGTTAGCACCAGAGCTGGGAAGGAAGGGAACCTCTCTAATTCCGGGGCAAAACCAGAGAAATAGAGCAGCAGTAACCTCATCACAGAAAGGAACAAGAGGAAGACAGATGGCTCCCTGGAGGGAGGGACATAGGCTGTACGTGTCATGCTGGAGCATTCAAAGTGAACTATTAAAGGAATTTTGCCTATTGTAATCCAGTCCCAGTTTGGCATGTTACAGGGAGGCAGCTATGACGAAGTTCTGCTTCCAGCAACACTTGCGGACAAACCGGGTCATCTGCCTAATTGCTATATTTACGATATACTGACGATGGAGGACTTTTTGCCCTTATTTAAAAAAAAAAAATATAAACAAACCAATCCAAAACACAACACACACATCAAAGGGTAAAACCAATAATGGAATTTCTCATCCTGCTCACTTTTTTTTCCCCCCCTTAAATCAAACCTGCATTTTCCTTTAAAAACGTAAAAATACAAAAACAAAGATACATTAGAATACCCTACTGTCCAGTAAATGTCTTATAGGCAATTATTTATGGAGGAAAAATTGCATCAAGCCCTTCCTTTGACAAATATGAAGCACCTCAAAGTTCATTCTGTACCAAAGAATGCCGCTTCTTCTGCTGTTGGTTTAAATTACTCCTATCACCACAATTTGAATATGCGTTATTTGTCTTCAAATACCTTAACATAAACCTAGACTAACGCTGAAAAAAAAAAAATCCTAGTTAGAATGCTGTGCTGTTGATAAGCTAAAAACAGCATACCATGAGAAGGCAAACTAACCTTCCTGCTTACTTTGTAAATAATCCATTAGCTAAACTTCTATTTTAGGCTGGATGCTTGATGCTTAACACTTCAAAGTCCAAATACCCTTCATATCCCTTATAACAGAGAAGAAACTTGTAAAATGCCTTTGGTGCATCAGCTTATCATTGTACAAATGTTTTAAAGAAACTCACTAGTATTATAGGAAATGTAAGTGGGCTTGTTTGTGTTGTTTAATACTCCAAGTGTCATTTCTTTCTTTAAAGGGGTTAGAACAGAGGAGGGGGAAAGGGGAGGAAGTCTTACTTAATTTGTTGCATATGTCCCAATGTGTTATACAACTAAGTGTATTATACCAGAAAACTAAAGCAGTCTGCGCCGCAACAAACTCTGTGTAACTCAAAATAGAAGAATAATCTGGCCACAAGCAAGTCAAAAATTCAGTGAAACTTCCTCTCATATTATATATACACACACTTTACAAGCTACATCCAGTGTCTTTTCATATTCCAAAAGAAATACATTGTAGACACCAAACATACTGTACTTTTACTTAAAGGCTTCATCAAACCATATGTGCAGACACTTGAGAAGATGAGAGTGTTAAGCTTCCTAGGGTCCTAGAGTCAAAGAAATTCTGCTGCCCCCCACTGCTAAGTAAGTGCACTCCTTCCACGGGGGGCAACATCTGCCGATCCGTCATGGTTCCACTTGGCGAGGACCCCAAGAAACTTCCTTGGGAAGAAACGATTTTCTCAGGACTGGCAGCCAGTTTAGGGGATGTGGAAAAGTTATATCCATAGAGCGCACAGGGACTGTGCAGTCTAAACGTGTTGTAGGAGCCTTGGTGGGTTTGGTTAGTGGTAAAGGCATTGCTGGATGGGGATGGCATGATGTACTGGAGCTGTGGAGACATCCCTGAAATCTGCATAGATAAGCCAGTCTGTGGGCAGCTGAAGGCATCCCCATCATTGCCGCTCATAGACATATTCACAGTTGTGCTACTCGACACACCGACATAGGAGGGAGTCCTTGGGGGTGCAAATGTCTCACTGGTTTGGTTTGTGAGCCTGTTGTAGGTTTCAGCCAGAGAAGTGCTGTATCTGTTCAGGGTCAAGCCTGAGCGGGCACAAGCTGTGTAGTCAGCTGGAGCAAGGCTACAGAGCTGGCTAGTGTTGGGACTCAGGTGGAAAGCTGGAGATGAGCAAGGGGAACCCGGTAAAAGGTGAGGGTGGGTAGATGGCACTCCACTGCCAGATCCCTGGAGTAAAGTAGAGGAACCTGCATTTCCTGCAAGAGAATATTACAGTGTAAGAAGCACGTTGTGGAAGGTTCACTTCCTAGGTGGCAGATCAAGAGCTTTTTCTTTTACGATAACCCTTGACACAGAACACAACGCAAAATCATTCCAAAAAATGACAGGTACATACATGTGCAGGGGTGTGGCACATGTGTATTTTTAAAGAAACAATGTGTCCAAGAAAGAGAACGTAAGTTATGCTTTTGTAACCATCACCCAATACTTAGACCTCCTGGCCAAGAGGTTAACTACTCTGACATGGGAAGCAAGCTGCACGGCAGCTAGGATGTAGCCAGGCAAGTACCACATCACAGGAAGCCTTCTTCAAAGTTATGAGTTTTGTATTGTCTATGCTGTTGCTACACCCCAGAGCATGTTCCAAGCACTCTGTGCCTGACTCGCTGTCAGAGCACCGGCTAAGGAACCAGCTCCTCGGCTCAAATGATAGAGGCGCCAACAGTTCAACAGCTTCAGGGAAGTTCACAACTTCAGAACAAAAAACTTCCAACTTCAAACTGAAAAACTTGAGAATAAAACTTCAGAACAGCTTCAGGAGAAGTGTAGGCTGAGTACTGTGCACAGCTGCTTCATTTCTTGAACAGGTAGGTGGAGGTTTAGGTTTGCACCAAACCATTTCACAAAATGTTTGTTTACCGATACCAGACCTTTTTACATGAATGCTCCTGAGAAAGCATTGCTTGCTACAGGTGAAGCCTTTTCTCAGGGCTGAAAGTTTCCCAGCCGTAAGAAACACTTCCTTTTCTTAGAGATTATATCTCCCTGAAAAATGAGCGTAGAAAAATTGATTTGGGCCTTTTGCAGTCTCCCAGGAGAAAGGTACTTAACGCAGAAGACTCCCCTGTTTGTGAATCACATGGACTATCAAAGAGCTTGATGCTGCAAAGAGATACATGCTGTCAAGAAGTTAACAAGTTTTCATGATAGGTGAGCTAGTAAAAAGAAAAATACATTATCAGTGAACTCTGCCTGCTTTTTCTTGCCCTGTTGACAGGCCACAACAGGCACAAAGCACAATGAGACCTTCCCACATTCAAGAAATCCTAGAGTAAGGCATACTTATTTTTCTTCTGATCTATGTCAATGCCTTCGCTATCCAAAGGTGGGTACTTCCAGTATTACAATCAGGACAAATTTCTACCAGGGTCTTTCAGCAAGTCTCTAAACCACCCTACTGGCCAAGGTACAGCCAACTAAAGATTTTCCAAGGATCCCAGTTGCCATTCTGTGAACACCAGTAGTAACTTCAACAAGCTCCTTAACCTGCAACAGCAGAAAAGGAAGCGGGAAGTTCACAGCAGCAGTTCCCCTGCCCTCAGACAGTGCTGTTATGTACAAACAGGGCAATACAGCTGGCTTGTCTCCTAGATGTTTTAACTTCATAGAGAATTGCCTCTCAGTCTTACGCAGCCAGCCTGACAAGGTATTTCAGGTCTGATGCTGGCTTCTCATCACAGGCCTTTTTTTATGAGGACAGTTCCTCCCACCATCCTCTGCCCAAAACTCTGTCAACTCTCATCCAACGTATCTGTGGCTTGGCACAAAACCTCCTTTTTAATTGCACACATCAGGCACAGATGCTCAAGATTTCTTAAAGGAGTGGGCTACAGAGAAGTTGACAAAAGTGATTTCTCTGTATTTCCCTATTTTCTGGTTGTTTGCTCCGAAGAAGCTTAATGGCTTTGGAATACATTATCAAGAAGGCAGGAAGGATGTTTGTAAATTTGATAGAAGGAAATGCAAAGAACCAAGAGCTGTATGTCTGATTTAGTCGGGAAACATCTGAGAGGTTTTCTGTATGCATTGGGGTACTTTGGAAATAAAGGAACTTGGAAAAGAGTACAGAGTCTCTCCTCTCTGTCCAAACAGGCCATTTAAACACCCCTCTCTCCCCCACAACACTACCTCTACAATGGAGAAAGTGGGAGCCAAGAGGTTATGGACTGGGGAGCAGGAAAAAACAAAACTGAAAGGAAGTCCATGTTTTCAAGCTCTAGGATGCAGATAGAAGTTTGTTGGGACTTGTACCGAACAATTTTTAGGTCTTTAAGAATCAAGGAGGCTTTCCAAGGAGGAAACCCAATTAAGCTTGCCGCTATTGATTCATTACTTAGAGGACATTTCTTCTCCCATTCCTTTTTTTTCCTCTTAAACATGTAAGTAATTCCTATATTGGACTCTGGATGTGTACAACAGAAGTCATCTATAAGTGAACTCTGCCAGAGCATAACGTTAAGAGGTTATTCCATCCTCAAATAACTGTCATCTTCCACATGTGAGCTGATTTATCTTTACGACTTAACATTTTTACTGCCACAGTGGTTAAGTTAGCTTTCTAACTTAGAATAGCTCTGATGAGAGGTAATGGCCTGCACTGGGGCTGGCTGTTGCTTTTTCTCTGCAAGTGACAAACTCATCTCGATTTTTGTAAAGAAGCTTTATCTTCATGCATTTTTATTTTGAAAGAACACAAAGAAGACCATTACCTTGTTTGGGTATCCCAGGTATATCTTCAAATGTAAGTGTCCTCAGTGAAGGTCTCCAGAAGGCATAAGACTCTACCAGAGCTTCCAGTCCCATTCTATTTAGAACAAAAACATCACAGCGTTATGAAAGCAAGCTGTATGCTGTCACATTTTTCTGCATAGGTTACCTCAGAAACACATAAAATTAGTAACATTTCAGGACTATTCTGAGTTTCATTTTGCTTTTTAGAAAAGAGCCTTATATCCTAATCCATGGACTGCTCTGATCTGCAGTCACTGGGCTGGCGACGTGCAAAGGATTCCCCAATTCCACAATCTGGGTCTTTATGTCAGTTTTGGCTTTTTGGTTTTCTTTTTTTTGGGGGGGTGAGGGGACACTACGCAACTTGGCTAAAATGACGTTAGGTGTTTTCCTAGCATGACATTTCCTTACAAGTCATGCTCTAACTGCCAGGGGGATGATCTCCTACTTCTGCTGAGAACAAAGGGGATCCACTGACAACTTCTGTTAAAACAGGATTCCCAGTCATTACCAATGAGTTGGAAAATCACGCTTATGATGTGAGCAAGCCCTGGGTGTACAGCTCTTTGGCTACTAAAACGTATAAAACAATCTTGTGTCTTGGTCATTATGTGCTGAGCAAAATGAAGATTTTCAGTTTCTAAAGGCAATAATTGTCTTTCAACAGTGTCATGACAAAACAGAAATATCCGGGTAGATGATCGCGGCAGACAATATTTAGAAGAATCTCTGCTTCCTGAAGGTAAAGGCTCCTTTGTTTTCTGGCAGAACTTTATGAGTAACGCACTTCGGAAGTATCATTTTGCTGTTATTTTTGGCTGCTGGGCCCCAAAGGCCTGTTAAGTGTCAGCATCAGGCACACACCAAATACAAGCGCTTGCCTTGGAGCAGCAGCACTCTGTAAACTCAAATTATGCAAATAGCCCAATTTGAAGCTACCAACGTGTTCTTCTGCTACTGCTTCTTCCCCATTGCAGGATCACAAATGTATTTCAGGAAGGAGTTATAAAGTATTTATTAGCTGAACCTGGACTCAAAAGATAGCCTTCATTTTCTGCAGCAATGGCGAATTTTCATTTCTAGTTAAAGCGGAGATAAAAGCCACCTCCTGGAGGAGTGTAGCCAAGGCGATAATTTATACAAGATGCTTTCGAACAATTTCCACATTTTATCACCACCCTAATTTACGCTATCAAATGGCCAAGTTTATTTAACAAAACAGTTATGTTTTTCCTGAAGTATTTAAAGGCAGAAATTCTGGTCCTTTCCTGAGTAAAAGCTTTTATAGGGTCAAACTTAAGGCCTAACTGAAGAATGAAACTATTCTCAGCACATAAATTCTGTTGCACTTTGCAAATGCACAGGGAATGCTTTTAAAAGGTGAAGCTACTGATTTCTGTAAAATAGCCTGTGGGACTGAACGGGAATGACCTGAAAGGGAAGATTTTTAATTAAACAGAATTATTGCATGCAGCAGTGCAGAGTAAGATAGCTGCAATAATTAAAGCAACATTGAAAAGTTGGATATAATGATACAGTATTTTTTTTACACTTTTGAGGGAGACTAAAAAGCCTAGGTGATAAGTATACCAGCTAGAACAATGAGGATAACTGAACCTTAACATTTAATTTCAATGTTTAGCAACAGAGCAAAATAATAATCAATTGAGTACAGCAGTAATTTAAATTTAAAAAGGAAATTTTCCTCGACAATTAAAAATCTGAGCTGCATTCCCAAACACACTTATTCAGTGCCACAGAGCCTATCAAAGAAAACAGCAATACCAGCTTCACTAAACCAATGTCAACGTGCAATGGGCAAGAGTTTGCAGCGTCACTTCTGTAACGAGCGTGTTTGCTACAGTAAAAGCATTCAGACCTCATCTAAAGCCAGTTCCGAAACATTTATACAGAGGCTGGCCCTTCGTACAGGACTGGCCTCCTAATCCATTTCCATAAATTACAACTGCCTTTCAATTAAAATATCCTGCTTTTTTTTTTTTCTACTGCCTGAACCAAACTTATTCTTAGCAGCCAAACAAAAAAACCCAAACCCCTCTGGATATCCCCAGTCCTACGACTGGATTTGCATGGTTGCAGATGCAGTACTGCACCTACACCGTCCTCGGGTAATACCAGGGCTGTCCCGCCACATTAAATCCAGTTCAAAACTGGTCTCTGAAGGATTCTTTCCTCTCTGTTTTCAAGGCCATCTTCTCTTGTTTCATAGAAATATTACGGAAGAAATTCTAACTGCCCTCGGAAATTTCAGAGGAGTCAGGGTTTCACACTTCTTAGGAGGCTTGCTTGGTATTTATTTTATAGCTCTGCAAAAAGCATGCACAGCAGAGACCCTGCCTACGGAGACCTGTCAAATAGGGCACGTATGGCAACTCTTTCCTTCCCCAAGTACACACAGCATGTTTTGCTTCTTCGGTCACTGCATTTATCTGGAAGTTACTGTTTGCTTAATTTCAAACCAGGAGGCTACAAACGTGGATAAAACTCTACTTATGCCGGTGCCCAGGGCATCCCTTCCAGGCCCCAGGACAGAGCATGGACAATTGTTTCTTGCTAGAAGACAAAAATCTTAAGAGAGCAACAAATGCAGAGGGCAAACTGAAAAGATACTTACAGTGAGTGTAAGTGTAAATCTTTACAACTACGCCACCCCTTCTATAACTGTTCGTCTTCTGAAAACTACTCTCATTTGCTGCCCAGTCTCAGCATTTATGTAACCCAGATGGAAGCACAAAACAGGCTTTAATGCTGTAGCCTCTGCTAAAAAGCCTCTAAAAAAGCAGCTCGATAAAGCAACTACCAAAAGATACTCTTGGAGCATTCCTACCAGCACAGAGTCTGCCTCCTTCTCTGCAAGGCTGGGTCATAAATATAGCAGCTGTAGACACCAAAGGCAATGTGGTCACTGGAGCTGATGTATAATATATGCACCACAATTAAATGCTGCTTTTTTGTAGCTGAAATGGTTTAACATACAATTCATAACAGGCTTAAGTATTCTGCATTAAACAGCCTTTGGAGAAAATACCTCATCAGTACTGGCAGCAGACACTAGACCCAAGTCTCCACTTTGCACTACTCAGATTCCCCATTGCTATTTTGAATGATTCGTGGATCAAGAGAGAACAAGCAATTAATCAGTCCAGCCACAACAGAGGAGGTGGAAACCAGGCTCATTTCAAGGTCATCTGTAGCCTAGTAGGAAAGGCATTCACCTAGGAAATGGATTTAAAACTCCTTAGGCTAAAGAGATACTTGAACACAGGTCTCCCACCTCCTGGGCAAGTGTACTAAACATAAGGTTACTGCACGAGGCGACTTGGTTTCTCTCCCTTTAAGAGAAAACAACGAGCTGTTCATTCATACTAAATGCCACTTAGAAGCGAGAGAACCCAGGCTTACAGTTTGACACCGATATCTGCAATTTGTGCCCCCAGCCAGGAGAAAAGAGGCGATTTCAGGAGCAGCCTGAAATCACAGACCTGAGTATGCATTAATTCCATCTGCAGCCTTCACAGTATGCTGCCTCTTCCACCAACAGGGAACTTGAGTACATGGGTCAAGCCGAGTGCCAGACCTGCTCCTGACCTATATGGTCAGAGGAGAAGGAACGGGAGCCCACCACAGAGAACATTACTGGGAAACCAAGGAGTCTGAGCCTTCAGACTAATTTGTCTGTAAATACAAGTATTCCCCTCGACCAGCCTTCACAAACCAATTCTGTCAGCAGTAACAAACCCACCTCTTTCCCCAGCACCTACCTGTTACGTCCCGAATCCCTAAAGCCTTTGGCAAATGGATTCCTATCAATCTTCAGACGAGTTATCTGTGAATATGATTAGAGAAATTACTACCTGCAAATTCAGCTAAGGAACACACAAAATGCCGCTCCTGACAGAATTAAGCTGACAGTGGAGTAGAAACATCTTCACATTTGCATGGTTTAACATGGTTGTCCTGAAACACAGCAAAATAAGGCCAGCCTTCTGATCATTAAGTTTGCAAATCCCCCGAGAAGCTAATTGGTATTTAATGCTACCAAATGGCAGGTTGGAATTCTTGAGAAAAATCTTCTGGCAAATGTCATTCTTCACCTAAGAGAGTACACTGCCTAGCTGCAATAAAATTTAAATTAAATTTTATTTCTGTATGGGTCAAGAAGGAAATGTGAAAAGAGAGATTATCACTAGGCTATTATCATCCATAAAATAACAGCACACCCCTCCCCCAAAATGCTTGCAGTTTATTTCAATAAATGGGATAGGCACCAAATAATTATATTTCAGGATTTACACAGCTCTCCTGCTCTTCTCTTTGTAAAGATAGCAAGGCATATATAATTTCCTAAAATACAGCTGCAATAACTTATGTGGAATTAATAAAATGTCACAACACTAACTATGGCGTCACTATGTATGTTAATACTTAAACAAGCGGTAATAAGAGCCAAACACCAGAGTCACGCAACCTGCAGTTCACTTTTGGCTTTGGATCTCTGTGGACCCAGATAAATCGCAGTTAATAATATACGCTGCAGGCAGTTAATGAAAACGACTGCAGCTTTCTTCAGGGCTCAGCTTCTCTGGTTTGGGAGTTTGATATCACTGGTGTCAGGAACAGAAGTGCTTTAAAAATTCTATCCAGAATAGAACTTCTGCACTTAGAAGGTACAAAAACACCTTTAAAAATTAAGACTCCTTTGCCTCGTGCTGCAATGCTGTATTCCTAATTAAGACACCATTAACTATGCTAATTAGACCGTGTGATCGCCATGATAAGAATGACTTTTTACGCACAGCATCTAGCCCACGTGGCCTGAAGCCTCAGCTACAGCCTCCAGGCGCTGCTGCAATACTACCAGGGAAAGCTACTCATAAGACGGAAAAAGGGTTTAGGCAATGCTTTTTAAATAAGCGGTATAATAAAAGTACCCGCTTTTCTCCTCTCACTTTCTTCCCTGGTCTACTCTGAAAGCCTGTAAAGCGCTAAGCAGAAAGCCCAAGTTACCTGTTGATTTTGGTACGCTGTGACAGTAGTGAAAACTGTCTCTGGAAAGGAGAAGGCTTTCACCCCTTCTCCTGAAGGGATCGGCTTGACAGGGGACAGATCATCTCCACAGTCTTTTCGGATGACGTGGACCCGAGGCTGATATTTATGCATAGAGTGAAGGATAATCTATGCAGTCATGAAAGGAAAAAGATAACATTTATTAGAAAGGACACCCTGCTGTTTCAGGACTAATAGCTTTTTGGAACAGATTATGGTATGTGTTTACCATGCCACTTACTGGAAATCAAATGTTTTCTTTAACCTCCAAAGGTTCTTATTACAGTAGTCTAATCCCTGTGCATTTATGTTATTGCCAACCCTAAGCATTTAAAAATTACGACTCAGGAGCTCCAAATTCAGAGACTGGCTCAGTTGAGACTGGCTAAAAAAAAAATAAATATATATATATATATATACACAAAAAAAAAGTCAGGAGTGAAGTCCTGATCCCACTGGAATTAGGAAAGTTCTGTCACTTTTTTCCACTGAAGCCTGGATTTGATCTAACAGGAGTAACAGCAGCAGTACTTGCCTTTTGGTTTTGGAACCTTTGGGATATGCTTGGAGCAATTTTTTTCCTGATACCCCAAAAGCTGGAAAGATATCTTGTTTTGAACACAAGCCGAGACTCTCACGGTCTGAAGAAGCAGACAATTCAGAGCAAAATAATACCAAAATCCAAAACGCTCAAGTGTTAATTACCCTAGATTCATCATACAGACAATGAATATCAATACACAAACCCCTCCCAGCATACAAAAACTCAGTTAAGAGTAAAGGATAACGAGAAGTACATGAACTCACAGTGCATAAAGTTAAACATAAAAATACCTCTTGGTACTGCTCCCAAATTTTTCGAGGGGATTTAAAATACAGAATTTTTCCTCTATTTTATTCAGCTAACCAATACTAAAATAGAAGATTTCAAGAAAAAAAAATAATTGGAAGCTCAACTATTGCTGTTGGAAGGCCTGAGAAATTAGTAACTCGATAAATAAATAGTCCTATGGCTATTGGCCTGTGGAACCACTAATCAACATTCAGGGGAAGCTTTTTAATTTCCTGCTCCTTGAGTAGCCTCAGAGTGTGCGTGTGCTCAGGCACTCGACAGAGCCCCTATGCCAGACACCGTGGAAGTTCATTCATCCAAATGACATAGAGGACATTACATTCATTTGAATAAACTCAAGTTTGGCTAGTTTAATACACTTGGTCCTGGCCAGATGATGTGACCCTGTTTTGGATAAGCCAAGTTTCTGGACAATCAGGGGTTTTATTAACCTGTAAGCAAGGTTTTGACAATGACATCACAGGCTCAGGGAACGCCCTACAGATGCCTCATTTTTCACTAAAAGATGTTCCCCTGCATCAAAAACCACTCAGTTTAAAAGCATGGAAAATAGCGTCAAAAATATTGACTTTTCCCCTCTACTGAAATTCAGATTAAAAACTGCTTCAAAACAGGAAAAATCAGCCAGCTCCAACCAGCTGGAGGGAGAGACCGCTTTTACAATGCGGCACTTACTCCACAGATGAGAGAGGGATGAGAGGCATTAACAAAGAGCGTCCAGACCACGCACAGTGAATATCACTGTCAGCTGCAAAATGCAGGTTTACTTTTCCTTACCATCACAATGCAGATGAAAGACACAAATGTCACAGTACATGTCTTAATGGTGCCATCGGGCCCTAATGCCTCTATAAGCACACAATCTTTCCAAAGTAGGGAATCCACTCTGGGACTCCCTTTGAGATCAAAAACACACAAGGAATATGCATCATTACAAGTTTTGCTTGATCTCCTCAGCCTTCAAGTGCAACCCACGTATCAGAGAGTGTCCTACGTGCAGGGGTACTTCAAAATCTCTCCGCGGAACAGCGCTATAAAATTACATCGTCACAAAGTCCCACTCAAAATACTGATGAAAATAGCAGCAGGGAGCCCAGAAAGTGTTTGAGCAGTGAAGCAAGTCATCTTAGAGATGGCCAATCTCCTTTCACAAGAAGCTAATCCCAGGCCAACGCAAGGAAAGGGGAGTCGGCTGCCATGAACTACTACCACAATATAAATTCCTCACAGGAATACTTCCTTTGCGTCTGTTTGCAAATACTGTCCCCATTCCCACAGATGTGGTTAATACTCTGGAATAGGTAAAAGGATTCTGGGTTGATCTTGTGCAAGCTCCTACCTCAACACCTGCAAGATCAAAACCTAGCCCTGGGATCTTATACAAAAACTCCGCAAAAGCTGATGCTTCTGAGGAGCACGGGAGGAGTAAAGAAACAACTTCAACACAGATTAAAGCCCCAGAACTAGACAGCATGGAAAGCACACCCAAAGAACAACAACCAAAGCCCGACACTGCTCGAACTGCTGGAGGAACGATGGCAAAGCGTAGAGACCCCATCGAGGTTTCTCTGAGCCATTCTGCCTAAGCGGGAGGGGAAGAATAAAAAATTTCCTAATAATCTAAAATATACCCCATCTCCCCCCATACAGGGGTGGGAAAGTCAGAACGCTTGATGCAAAAACACACATTCGAGGGACAGTACAGCCTTGACCCCTAGCTCTTCTAATCCCCCATCCCTCCCCTGGTACCCTTTTGAGAAAAATGGTTCCTTCCTGCTCATGCGAAACAATTGGTTTTTATATTCATCACAAAATATGATTATACATTTTCCATTATTGCTGGAGGCATTCAGAGGCTACATAGCTTTTTCAATACAGCATTCCACACTACCATAACTTTAAAAGAAAAAATGTACCCATTGGAAGAGACACTTTTCTGCTTTCTGCTTTTGCCTTTTCTGGTAATTATGAATGACATGTTTGCAATTTCCCAGATTTGAGAAATATGAAATTATTTTACAGTCATCCTTCTTTTGTCCTTTTATTTTAATACTTAAATTTCCATTTTGGGGAGGAGGGGCGCTGCCGTAGCTCTGAATCAGTTCAATGTGTCTCAAATCACTGTACTAGAGCTTTGCTTCACTAGTTTCCAAATCGAAACACTTAACTAAAGACCAGAAAATTTATATCCCTCCACATTATGAATAATGGCGTGCTGTGTACACTACACAGGTTTCAGTTCAGAATAAAAACCAAGCTAAGATCTGGGATGGAAAAAATACAGCAATACAATTCTCTACATAGCTGAGATTTTATCACAGGGCAGTTTGCGACTCCAAGTGCCCGGGTGGACCGCAGCACCCACGTATCGCCCCTCTGAACGACCGAGTACAAAAACCAGCTGGCCTGCTCTCTGTTGGAAAAGCGACATTTTACCCATTTGCATCTGCTTCACTTTTTGAAGCCCTTACAATAGACCCAGGGCCCGGAGAAAGCAACTCCTACTCGAGAAGAGCTGCAAATACGCGCGTGTTGGGGAAACTAAGGGAACTACCTGTGGTAAACTTTACTCAAACACACACTGCCAAATGAGACCCCATAGCTGCAGTTCTGGAACGAAGCGATGTAAAACATCTTCCTTACCATCCTCCACAAAAGCACTGCTAACTCAAGAGATGTAAATCCCCCCCCATTCCTTTCAAGGAAGAGCATGATGAAATTATGAACAGTGTTAAACAGAGGCTTTTTATCCCTGTTATCACATTTGCTAGTTTGGACCAGCCAGTCTCCTGTATTCCCGCCTCTGTAACATAGAAGGTGTAGCTCTTGCACGCTTCGACCGAAGTCTCAAGTTCATCTCCTTTGCAAACACAAACAGGGAGAAAAAAAGCCCATGCTTAAACTTGGACTATGTATTGACAAAATACCTGGCTTAACGTCTCAGAGTTACAGCTATGCCGAAAGATGCAGCTTTGTACTCCGTGCCAGGTACATTTTCTTTCCGTCCCTTCCGTGAAGGAGAAAGTAGCCTGCTTAATAAACCGGGCTACGCTAAGGACAATGGAATCCACATCCTGTCTCAAAACTTGCCTCTAACATCTTAAAACTCTACTACTTGGAACTCGACGATCCTTCTGAAAGCAAGCCAACGTTTGCCATCTATTACGAGATTTTTCAAAATGAAAGACTTCACCCTGCCTAAAAACAATTCTCATTTTTTAATTAATTCCTAAGGTGCCGAGTAAAACTATTTTAGGGATTGCTGGAAAGATACTGGCTTACATCTGTCATGTTTCAACAGTTTTGAAGAGAAAAGGAAATATTAACATAACACATTTTGTCACATTAGATAATGTCATAACTAAACAATTTAGAACTTGCAAACAGAACACTCATACTGCATACGTCTTCGCCAGTTATTTCAGAAGTAATGAGCCTCAGCTGTGAAAGGGTCTTGCTTCATAAGGTATGTAATAAATCATTATCGGAGCGAACCCAGCTCCCATGTTGTTCGTTTTTGACTGCAATTATTAACACCTCATGGGATTTCACACAAATGTTTAGGTTAAGAAAATAGTTAAGTGTATTTTTATTCACATGAAGCTATTACACACTATTAATGTTTCTTCTAGCCACTTGTGAATTTAAGCGTCCTTTTTGATCGGAGCAGAAGTTGCGAGTAACGCACTCGGTGGGAAAACATGAGAGCAATTCTGCCCCTTCATATTAGGCAATTTAGCCTTGTAAAGTCTTACTCTGCAGAAGGAGTTCTGTTTTTGAGGGGGGAGTAAAACAGCAGGCTCTAATAAGCAGTTAATTATCGGAGCAGAAAGTAAGCAGATTTTAGATCTGGACGGGAAAGTTCCAAAACAGCTTTGAAAAGTCAAGCCTATTTCTGGCACCCTGAAGCTGTACGTCAGCCTTTCAGGGCTGAGCAATGTGCCTACATATAATACTGCAGAAGAGCAAGTACTCACATGCCCTTGATCATCCAGCTCATTATTGGTAAGCTTCAGTTTGTCGAAGCTGATCACTTGTCTCATCCACGTCTCCCCAGAGGCAGGGGAATCGGGGTGAATATAGACACGAGGCGGTACTGGGGAGTCAGCATTACCAGCCACCATCCACTTGGAGCTGTGATAAACGTACCTACAAAAAGAAAACAAACACCTATAACCACAACCCCCAAAATAATTTATCAGACCCATTCACTATTAATAAATTAGGGCCCACACATACAGCAAGAACCCACCAATTAACAAAACATGGAAGGACGATAAATAAAAGTGGGGTGGTTTTTTTTTAGTTTCAAAACACAGTTCTGGTATCTGCAAAAGTAAGGTTAAAAACCACGCTCTGATCTGACCTTAGCCTTCTTAAAATCAGTAATAGTCTTTAACACTAGGCTCCACACTGAGCTTTGAGCCTGCGTCAGGTCATTGATTGCTACAGCTCTGCTCTGAATAGGCATCAGCAAACAGGGAAGAATCTAGTCCTTCATTTATCAAATCGAGCAGTAATTCCATATTTGGAATATTTAGCATGTTGAGTCTAATATAAGAGTCTATAAATAAAGCTATTGAAGGGAAAGAACATTATGATTGGGAAAAATAATGAAACTATGTCAAACTATGCTTTTGCTATTTCTGCAAGACCATATTAATTTTCTTGAATGGTACTGCAGAAAGGCTTAAAAATGAAAAAACACAGCCCATATTTCATTTGATAGGCCAATGCTGACAAAGTCATTTTCTAATAAAAATAGTGCCTGCTTTGGTAGAAAACTTATTTTGAGGGCAGACACTTCACAGGGCAATTTAAAAAGCGCTGATTAAAAATGTCAAGGTATTTTTTTTCAAGTACAGTAAAATTCCAGAAGATCAGCTACATTTTTTAATAAAAACAAGACTTTATCAAATCTTTGTTTGTACAATTCAGTGCCTTATTAGAAAAAGACAAACAACATAATTGGAAATGAAAACAAAGTGATCCAATACATGCATCACTCCATACAATTCGTATCAAGCTGTAAAACTAAGATCTAGGATGGTGGTAAAATTCTCTCCTGGAGACAAATTCTCAACCCCAGATCGCACAGCCAACTGTCGCAACATTTTTCACTTATTTTGTATCTTTTAGTTTACACTGAATACACGCTTTCCCGAGAAAAGTAAATGAAGTCATAGATACACGTAAAATATTTCGAACAATAGCTTCAGCTTCCAAATATTTACAAGGTCCAATTTTGCTAGAAATCTAAAGCTAGATGTAATTTTCTTCATTTCCATTTAGTTTTGCCATCTGCTATGACAGCTCAAGACTAGGCTCCAAATGTGGCTGCTGTTGTATCTTTCAAATCTAAAGATCTGCAAGATGGTTTGTAAAGCCACATGAACAGCTCAACTTAAAATAACAGTCAGCAATAAAAAAAAAATAAAATCATAGATTGCACGGCAAAGAATGAGAAGTGGCATTGAGACAGACATGTAAAACATTAATATTTAGCGGGAAGGTTAAAGGTGTGGTACTAACACAGGGTTGCAGAAATTTAAGTTTGCCAACTAAGAAAATACCACCTTTCGTACAACTTCTGTTAAGTTACTTCAGTTATCTGGGCACCATGTATCACCCTGTGCAGCTCAGTATGACTGCATTTATTTTAAATGAAAGGAGGCTTAAACAACTCATATTCGAGATACCTGGTTTTGATTTTTAATATTAGCGTTTTTATTCCATTTGGAATAATTACCTCTCTTTTCCTATGAATTAAGGAATTACTCAGACCTTCCAGGAATGATGTGCTTAGACTGCAAAGTGAATGCACACATGCAACACTAAGCAAGAAAAGGGCTTTCATTTGAGCTGCACTGCATTGGTCCAAATAAAAATGAAAATTAAAAAAAGCACTTTTTCCTCTACGGTACGGTCAGAAAAGCCTCCCCTAACTGTAGGTATTGGACATCCTCAGCGCTGCTTTCTGCATCTTGGTGAAAAACACAAAATTTAAAACCATCCTAAGAAACATCTTCTATACCACAGGAGAAAAGGACAAAATTGCAGTCAATGAGGTAAGGACAGGCAAAGACCATAGGGCAGTGTTTGCTTAGGAAACGAGGCAGCATTTTTTTTTTGCTCTTTGCCTGAATATTCCTAGTTCTACAGTTAAATCTGCAGCGGTTTTCCGTACAATATACTAAGTATAGGGTTGAAACAATCAAACCAGCAATTGGTAAGGACCTGATCCTGCCTCCGCTGAACTACTTGGCCAGGCTCCTCCTGGCTACTTACAGAGCATGGGATCGCATCCGTAAAAGCAAGACCTACAAACCATCTACAACTCACGATAACAACTGCTGCGGGCCCAATCCTGCAAACATTTCCACGGGACCAGTGGTTACAGCTGAGTCCAACCAGCTCACTCGAAACACAACTGCCCTCGCCATAGTGAGAGTTTCAGTGCATGATTCCTCCTCTCAAACGTTCAAAGACCTACTTTTGCTCCTCATGTTATTTTTCAGACAGTAACGCCAGTAATTCTTTAAAAAAACGGTAATTAGAAACATTACCCTTTGTGAATCTAAGCAACCAAATATCTGAGCGATAAACAGCTTTTAAATTAAATATAATCCATTTGAAGCGTGACCGAATAGGCATACATACTACTGAATCAGCCATCAATGCTATTAACGTTGCTAATTAATGTTAATGCCATTTAGCACGAGAAAAAATGTGCATTTTCATATTTATTTGTTAAAAGGAAATAACTCCCACTGACATGATGAGGAATAAAATACAATAGTGCTTCCTGAGCACACTAGAACTGCACCCGCCGAAAGCCAAAACCTGAGCATCTGCCCACAGTACAGACATGACACGAGGCAAATGCATAAAGAGCTGCAACAGGAATTTTAGTTGGTTTTGCATACTGGGCACGATTTCTTTTTTTTTTCTTTTTTTTTTTTTTTTTTAATGCACTGGGATGAAAATAGGAATCTGAAGGAGAGTTAAACACAACCTTCTCCTAATTTATATCGTGTTAAAGTTTTCTTCCGATTGCCAAGCTCCCTGTGGCTTGCATCACGTTTGGGGTTTTTTTTGCCTTAAGAGTCACCATACCTGTATCTTTTGTTATCCACCGGCACGATATCCATAGCAATATAATACTGCTGATGTGGGTCTAAACCTGAGATCTTCACTCTCATTGCGGGAAACATCCGCCTGAACATGGAAAGAGAGAGGTCATTTTTAATATGAAACAGACTCAGGAACGGTTGTTTAGGAAAAGTAACCGGTTCGTGGGATTTTTCTCGTTCTTCCTTTTAGCCTACAGAGTCCTTTTGGACGATTATAGTTACACAGCCATGAAATGGCCCATTCGGTATGTCAAAACAGATTTCTTAAAGTGCGTTTACTCGAACAATGCTTCGTATGTTTTGGGATACGCTTTGGGAGTACAGCTATTACCACATCATTTCAACTTTATTGTTAGACAGTAAATCACTCGGGTTTGAGACCTGCCTTTAGCAGGACAGGCGTTTAGAGCCGTTTGAAGGTACTAGCTGAGAAATCTTATTTCTGGAGATGCGCAACCGCCGCCTCCGCCCGGGAAAGACCCAGCACCTCAGAGAAAGGCAAATCGCCGCTCAACTTCCAGCTGCCAGCAGCGAACGGGGCCTCATTTCTGCAGCACCAACTTAGGAAGCGCGAATTAAATCGGCGGCGGTGGAAGGGGAACACGGCAAGGATGCGGGGAGCCGCAGCCACCGCGCCGTGCCGGCACCCAGCAGCCGGGGTCTTCCCCGGGACGGGGCTGCCCGCCGGCGACCTACTAAAGGGTCAGTGCGAGAGCTACTCCGTCTCTGAGAGCTAGAGTAAAACTTCTTTACCGAGAGCAGAAACGAAGTCTATGAGGTAACTTCTAAAAACAAAACAAAAAAAATCCCAAAAACCCACCCTCCCCCCCCCAAAAAAAGTTCACGGTTTAGATCCTTCTGCGGAGAAAACGGGGTCATTAACTGATGCGGTGGTCTTAACGCAAACCCGTAGTTCTCAGCTCACCCTTGGCACGCCTTTTATCAAGAAAGCTCATTCTTGAAGCCGGGAAAAAAAAAAAACCAAACCAACACCACGACACCCCCCCCAAAAAAAACCCCACCCAACTTCAAAACCCCAGGTCCCAGTGACAAGCCGGTCTGCAAGCTAATGAAAGGTACTTTTTCTATATTTTATAAAAGCTGAAAGCCATTCCAGTTTATTCCGTATTTGCTGCTGCTCTTAAAAAAATATATACGCATAAATCAATTAAAAGTCGTTACTGGAAAGAAAAATCCTATCTCCGTTATTTCTGAGTAAGCAGGAGGGTAAACCTGGCTGCGGTTAACTGGTTTGCGCTGTTATTTCAGTGCACCTGTAAGATAAAAACAGAAATTCCCCGGCTGGACTCTCTTAAGACAAATGTTGCTTTGTGCCGTTTAAGACTGCGTTTCAATCATTAATAAAGCCTCTCTGAAAACGTAGAAGGTAGCATATGGCTTCAATAAAATATGTTTTTGTAATTTCTAATAAGTTCGGATACTTTTATACTACCCAGGTTTTCACCATGTG